ATGAGACAAAGTGTATGTGAACTGCTGTATGGAAAGTGAATTTGCTCTGTAAATCTTCACCCAAATCACAATAAAATAAATAAATATATATATATTGTCAGACAAACTAATGGCAATGGTTTCTTTGCTTTACATCATTCTGGCTTATGAAAGATTTCATAGGATGCTCTACTTTGGGATAGCAGGCAAAACCTGTGTAGTCTACAGCACATACTGCTGGGTAACTTTTCTCCCTTTAAATGAAATCATTAGAATAAAATTAGAAAATCTCTTCAGCTAAAGACAGCACACTTCATTCATCTGATCAACAGACCGGTAGGTGCTATAGAGTTGGCTCCGACAGACTAGGTAAGTGATTTTCAAAAGGTTTTTTTTTTTCTTCCCAAAGAAGCATGTTCTTTTGCATAAACAAAGCCCTTAAGGCAAAAAAATGTACACTGATATAATGGTCAGTCATTCATTAAGCTCATTAATTGGAGCTCTGGTAGCATACTGCCTAAGGCACTTGACTGCTAACCAAAAGGCTGGAGGTTCAAACCCACCAGCCAGTCCTCGGAAGGAAGATGGGGCAATCTACTTCCGTAGTGATACTGTCTTGGAAACCCAAGGAGGGGTCGCTATGGGTTGGGTCTGACTCTACAGCACATAACAACAACAACAACGTATCAAAAAATATAGCAGTTCCATTCTCTTCCAGTAAAATATAATTCAATGAAGAAGAATTCAAGCAAAATATGTAGCAGGGAAAATACGGAACTTGTAATCAGAGGTTCTAAATTGCCACTACCTAGCTATGTGTCCTAAGGTAGGTTGCCATGGAGTTCTCTGAGCTTCAGTGTTCTCCTCTGTGAAAACAGGAATAGCAATGATTCCCACCTCACAGCACTGCATCAAGTTCAAAGGGGATGATACACATGAACATGATCTCTGTGCTAAAAGGCATTATATAAACAGTAGTAGTAGTAGTAATAGTAGTAACAGTATGTTATTATTATTACAAGTAAATTTTTCTGTGCATCATACGTGCATCTTATTACCGATTTTCATACTGGCAAAAATCAGTAGAACAAAGAAAAAGTGAGTCTGATGACCATATACATTGGAGATAACAAATATTAATCTGTCAGAAGAAAGCAGGAGGCAGCTAGTGTGAGAACCAAGAAATTATCAAGCAAAAGAAGTAAACCATTAATGTACAGTATTTTTTCTAAAGAAAAATAATGGCTACTTAATGCAAGAGTTTATATTTCCTATTTAATCGTAAACAAACAAAAAACAACAACCCACTGCCACTGAAATAGATTCAGACTCACGCCAACCCCATGTGTTACAGTGTAGAACTGCTCCACAGGGTTTTCTTGGCTGTAATCTTTATGGAAGCTGATCACCAGGTCTTTCTTCCACAGTGCTGCTGGCTGGCTTTGAACTGTCCAGCTTTAGGTTAGTGGCCAAGAGCAAACCACTTCCTAATCTCATTGCCAAAGTTTTGGTTTATTAGGGAATTTGATAAAAAATTGAACATATCATACATTCATTCCCAATTTCTAGACTCACTTGATAGTATCACAAAGTACATAATCAAATAGAAAAATTCTTTGGAAGTCAAAGACTAATTAATTAGGAAGGACTCTACTCTATCCATCCACAAGCATCTTACATCT